TTTCTTTGACTGCAGCTCCCACAATTGTCCTAACCAGCCTAGCCATAGGTCAGAATCCTCCGATGTCAGAATGAGGTCACAATCTGGAGAGGTTTTGTTTCTCTGCAAACTGAGAGGCCGTTAACAGTTAGGCTGAGCCTTCAACTGGTCAGGATGGAGCTTCCTGTTAGGTCAAGGTGAGGGTTGAAGGTGGGCTATATGACCTGTTGACAGCTATGGTGTCATAGTGGACAGAGTGTCAGGCAGGAATTCAGGAGGCCTTGAGTGAGGACCCTAGAGGAGTGAGTAGGAGCTTAAAAAATAACTATTCTGAAAAGCTTCAAGGCCCCCTTGTACTAATAGTCAACTACCCATTTTCTTTAAAGATGCTCCTGAAATTATTAATTCCTGAGTGTCAATTAAGCTATTAATAGGGATTTGACCACAGCAGAATAGAGTGGTATTCCCTTGATCTAGGCACTATACTCCTGTTGATGCAACCAAGAATTGCATTGGTTTTCTTGGCAGTCGCATCACACTGCTGACTCATGTTCAGTTTGTGCTCTACCAAGCCGCCTAGATCCCTTTCACAGGTACTGTTATCTAGCCAGGTGTCTTCCATCCTATATCTGTGAAGTTCATTTTTTTTTCTGCTTAGGTGTAGGACCTCACATTTCTCCCTGTTGAAATTCATTTTGTTAGTTTTGGCTCAGGACTCTAAACAGAGGGATGGATAAGTTTATTACGGTCAAAGACCAGCAAGACCAGAACAATATAAAATAAATACGTAACTGATTTCAATGGGAAAATTCACCACGCATCCATTAAGTCCCTTTGGTTTGAGCTGGAAAGGGGCATGACCTTGGTGCCATCCAACTCGGTGGGTGTAAAGGCTCACTTTAGTACACTGTACCACTTGATTGCATGTGATAAACTGAATAGATCTTAAAAGAAATTAGCTTTGGCACCAACAAAATGAGCCTAAAATTTTAATTGAGATCATGTAGAAACTGCTGTGGCAAAACTTTAAACATCAGTTGAGTTTGAAAAGAAGAATTTCTTCAAGAGATTAAAATGTACATTATAATAAACTGCTGCAATTTGATGTCAGAATTCCAAATTTCCCATAATGTGCCAGCCTAAGATCATGCAAAGGTTTTACTTGAGGGTACTTGTGACAATAAACTTGCTGTTCCATTGCCTTTTGCCATTTCCCCTAAAACCGGGGACCTTTTTAAATAGATCACCTTCATAGCTCTGAAGAAAACATAGCAGTAAAAATAGGGAAAAAATGCAAATTCAAAATAATGACTGTCTAGTAAGATTTTTCCCATGAAATTCTTATCTGTTTAAGTGAAGTCATCATGGGAGAAACAGCTGCTGCTGTAACTATAATGAAGTAAACCTTACATTCCAGGCAGTAATAGCTTTTAGCCTTTAAGGTGCCAACAACATTTTTGTCTTTTTTTACGCTTTATTTATTTATTTTCACCTATAATGCTTGCACAGACAATAGCCTTTAGCCTTTAAGGTGCCAACAAAATTTTTGTCTTTTTATACTCTTTATTTATTTTTTTCACCTATAATGCTTGCACAGACTTCCTCTTCTGCGGCTTCTTTTCAGTATGCCTCTTTTGCATGGAAAAACTCACACTGCCTGGACTTGATTTCTTTCAGCCTTTTTCCCAAACCAGCTGCAGACAGCACCAGATGGCTCTCGAAGCACATTGCTAGCGTTTCACAGATCCACTTCTCCTTTCGTAGCATCCTCCTTTCGCCCTCTGCTGTCGGGCTGCTGAATAGATCTTGAAAGGCTGTAGGACAGATCAGGCACCGATGCTTGTGGCTATCGTTTCTGCCTTTGAGAACCCCCCTGGCTTTTCTGTCTGATTAGTATTTGAACAGGAAATGTGAAGGACAATGTATTGAGCGATGCTCATCTTTTGAAACCTGTGCCTGAAACGGCTGGGTCATCAGGATGGTCCTTCTGAGTCCTAAATTCAGTGTTAGTTGGTGTGCTTTCATTACAATTTGTATACTGTTTGATAAGTAGAGGAAAAGAGAAACTGATAAGATAAAGTGCCAGTGAGGTTGCAAATATACATATCTGCAACCTTCTCGTTTAAATGTTTTCTTTACTCCCTATTACCAAGGTAAATAGTTAATCAAATTACCTGGCTTGGGATAACTCAAGTAGAAGTAGAATTATATCTGCAAGCATCGCAGTACAAAATGGGTAGTGGAATTATATGTTCTCTTTGATCCCCACTTAAGAGCTGAAGCCATAAAACAATCAATATATTTGGGTACAGAATATACAGTATAACATAAAGGTCTAATTATGATTTCAGTTACTTACCACCCACCCCAGGATAACAGGATAACTCAAGTAGAAGTAGAATTATATCTGCAAGCATCGCAGTACAAAATGGGTAGTGGAATTATATGTTCTCTTTGATCCCCACTTAAGAGCTGAAGCCATAAAACAATCAATATATTTGGGTACAGAATATACAGTATAACATAAAGGTCTAATTATGATTTCAGTTACTTACCACCCACCCCAGGATAACAAGGTTGTGATCAGAAGCAAGGAGCAAGTTTCCGTTTTGTGGAAAGGAATATTATAATTTGGTTAAAACAAACTTGTGGGTTTTAATGTTGTTTTAAATCTCTGCAGCATATTGTTAAAAACCGTCACTACCAGCACACAGATTTGAGGGGGGGTTTTGAGAAGATCTAAGTGCAATTGTTTTAATATCCATATTTCCTGCGCATTTGAGTCCCTAGTTTTTGCTACAGTTTGAGTCTTGCACATTGAAAGCTGTCTTTAAAGGGGTTATCCAGGATGATGAACCTACACTGAAGCATCTGTTCAGCACTATGGATAGCTCCTCCCAAGTTCAGACCAGTACAGCAGGGGTGGGCAATTAATTTATCTAAGTGCAATTGTTTTAATATCCATATTTCCTGCGCATTTGAGTCCCTAGTTTTTGCTACAGTTTGAGTCTTGCACATTGAAAGCTGTCTTTAAAGGGGTTATCCAGGATGATGAACCTACACTGAAGCATCTGTTCAGCACTATGGATAGCTCCTCCCAAGTTCAGACCAGTACAGCAGGGGTGGGCAATTAATTTCTATAGGGGGGGGGAGGGGGTTGAGAAGATCTAAGTGCATTTATTTTAATATCCATATTTCCTGTGCATTTGAGTCCCTAGTTTTTGCTACAATTTGAGTCTTGCACATTGAAACGTGGAGTGCCAGATGTCTGCTGTGTAAAACTAATGGGTCATAGGTTGGGTTGAATGAAGGATATCTTGGACTTGATTTCAGGGCAGGGCAACCTTTACAGCCATTTTTAAAGGGGTTATCCAAGATGATGAACCTACACTGAAGCATCCATTCAGCACTATGGATAGCTCCTCCCAGGTTCAGACCAGTAGAGCAGGGGTAGGCAATTAATTTCTATGAGGGGGGAGCCACATGAAAAATCTGAACTGTGTTCAGGGGCCGAACCAACTTTACTTAAAAATAAAATGAAACAGTGATGTTATGATTGTTTTTATTTTAAACGTGTTAATCTTCACAAATACTAAAGAGGTTTTTTGTGGTATGTTAAAGATAAGCAACTGATCAACTTTAGACAAAAAGCTATAATGGTTTTGATGTTCAAAACTGTCTGCGGGCTGGACAGGAGTGGCTTGCGGGCTGAATGTGGCCCTTGGGCCGCACTTTGCCCAGGTCTGCAGTACAGGGATTGGATTTCCCACCCTATGATATCTGAGTCAGAAGCCTCCACTGATTCAGAAGCAAAGTGGGAGTGGAGGGGCTGGCAGAGAGGGTGGGCGGGTGAGTGTCAGACAGAATGTTCGGTACACAGGTAGAAGACAGGAAGGGCTGGCAGAAGAGAGAAGTGAGTAGGGAGGAGAAGGAGAGAGGTGAGCAAGGTTTGAAAGAGGGGGAAAGGTGGTGGCATGGGGGGGGAAGAGGTAAGAACATTGGTTTTGGATCTGCACACTCTGGCTCCTAGATATATTCAGTTGTTCTCTAATGATAGTGGGAGTTAGGAGAAAACTGCATCTCATATTTTGCTCATGGGGAAAGCTACAGTCCCATCTCTAGTTGAAAATGATCTGATCATCGTTGTCATCATTGCCATCTTGGAGCTGCAGAACTGGAACGCATCCTATGGATCATCAAGTCCAGCCCCTGTCAAGAAGGGACAGTGGGGGATCCAACTCCCACCTAAACCGCTGAGCTATCAGGGAAGACCAAGCTGTAGCTGAGAATCTGAGAAGTTACTGTCACTCAAGAATAGAAAGTACGCCAGTTATTCTGACCTGATATAAGGGAGCTTCACGTGTTCCTATCTTGGTAGAGAGCGCTACCTGTTCAGGGGCGAAGCAGAGTGTTGCTGCAATGCACCTTGATCAGGTGAAGATCCTGCTTTCTCAGACCGTGGGCCACCCCACACGCAGAGTCCGCCTTATGCTACACCCATGCCATTGTTCCCCTTGAAGCCTTGTATTTGAATTTGTAAAAGCAGGTGGGCTTTGACTTGAAAGGATGTCCATTCTTCTTCCTAGTCACAGTCTCGGCTGGGCAGTATTTCAGTGTGACTCATTTTCCGCAGGTGGTTGTCTGATAGATGAATGGTTTCACGTAGATAGCAAAAGAGGATTTGACTTAATTTCCCCTTTCTTATTTCCCCCCCCCCTTTGCAGGCAGAAGACAACTGTAGTTCATGCAGCCCTTCCAAAGGACTTTTCTCGAAGGGGCTCCAGACCCAGCCTTCCAGCCCGGCCTCGGCTCCTGTCAAATCTAAGCAACACAGCCCGAGTTCACCGAAAACAGTATTCCCTTTCCCATACCAGGAGTCGCCGCCTCGCTCCCCTCGCCGCATGAGCTTCAGCGGAATCTTCCGGTCTTCCTCCAAAGACTCTTCTTCCCCCAGCTCTAATGCATCAACTTCTCCTGGGGGAATCAAGTTCTTCTCTAGATCCAGAAAAAGTAAGGAGCTGATTATGTCAGTTTTATAAATCTGCTCTTGGCTTGGTCCCGTTTTCTCTGCTTACAGTAAGCAAGTAGATGTAGATAGAGGGTATGCTGATGATCTGCAATCTGTGTTTTGTTTAAGGTTGTGTTGTTTTTAGCCATCTTTTTGTACCCTAACTAGTTGGTAGAAAAGTGACAGTCTGTTGTGTCCTCAGATAGTGGGACTAGGAGCAAAGGAAGTAGAATAATAACCCTTTGGTCACATGAATTCTGTAATGAAAGATAAGGCTATTGGAGGCTCTTTCTAGTTGAAACGGCTACAGGCGCCCTCCGGGATCAGAGGCAGCTGTTTCTATGGAGCAACAGTGTTCCATCCTCTGTGTCTTCCTATAAAACAAGGGGAGTCAACTTCAAAGGGATTAAGGGGGCAGTTTCCCCAGGATTCATTGGGTGCCTGTATCTGTCGGTCAGTAAAGTGGAAGCAGGATGGCTACGATGTTTCCTGGCCCACAACCTCAGAAATGCAACTCGATGTGTCTAGCATTGATTCATAGTGCTTATGATTAATCACCATACCAACCAAGAGGCATTCAAGGTGGCAGACATAATGATCATAATAAATCAGAGCAGAGTGTAAAGACAACCCATTCAGGTTTTATGCTGCGTTGCAATTTTGTGGTTCAGAATACTACATTTTGGGACTGGCTGCAGCAGTGCCACTGCCCTGTTATGTGTCTTCCTCCTCTCCTTCTTCTTCTTCATTTATGTGTGGCCGCTATAAGAAAGGGAATGGCAGTAAGATTCATAGCTCCTTGGCATCTTCAGGCACAGCTAGGAGAGAATTGAGCCTAAAGCTTTCTGTCAATCAACACTAACAATAGCTATCTAGATGGTATAAAGCCAGCAGCTTCCTCAAGCTTGACTGAGCAAGGGACAGACACGAATAAATGGCATTTGTGTCTTTCCATTTCATGCCTTAAGGTGGTGTCGTGTTCTGTTTCCAAGGAATAACTTTTCACAGTTTTAAAGGGCTGTTTTTCGTGGCTGTGCTCTAGGGAAAACTCTTAACTAAACCTCCATTTTCTTGGCTTTTCATATGCAAAACTTGGTTTGATTCCCCAAAATATATTCAGTATAAAACCAAAGCCTCTTAAAGATTTATTTTGTGTAAGCCTAATTTTTTTTTATTCATGATCCCCTAAGCATGTTCTGTATCTGCAGGGAGTGAGATGGGCGATAGATTATTTTTTTCATCTGTTTATATAAAAACAGCAGTCCGTAGGCATGGCAATTTCTATTCTCTCCTCAGTAATAATAAAGTAGGTTCTTGCCCACAGAGAGATTACAATCTAAATCTGAAAATGAGAAAATCAATGAGCTTCTACAACTAAAGGGGGAGAGGGAAGATTGCAGCATACTTTAACCAGTTTTCAACAATGGATTGTGTCAGTTTAAAATACTCTTTCCCCATGCTGGTGTTCTCCATATATTCTTGACTGTATTACCTTCCTGTCCAGCCAACTTTAGTTCAATACGTTAGAAAGGCAGTAGGGTGGATGGAGAAGACTGGCTTAAGGTTCTCCCCCCTTTTTTTTTTCCAAAATATTGTCGTGAATGTTATCAGATCCTTGTGCTTGAATGTGCACAAAGGTGAAAAGGCTACGAAATCCTGTAGATGTTGAAAGTCCCTGGGTTTGATCCCATGAAATCCTTTTCTTATTTGCATAATGAAATTAATACTTTCTACCCGGTTTGGCTAAGGTAAAATGACATAGCAGCTTCTTTTCCCCAGGGAATGAAGAGAGTCAACAACTGGGTTTTAATTACAATGATTTCAGAATCTTCTAGCCTTGCAGAAACATTTGACTGCAGAATTTTAACAGCCCTGATATTGGAAGAGCAAAATAACATCAGCAAAAAATACCTTGAATTTTGCTTATATTGGCAAAGTACAGTGACAGAGTACCTGGTCTGTAAAAATGGGTGGGGTGGGGGGAACAAAAGCTGTTTTCATAACCTGTGTTGTCCTGACATTTTGTCAATACACAATCAGTTGTATAAGTATTGTTGGTTCTGTTTTAAGTAATTTCAGTATCTGTTCTGTAGTGTGGGGTAAGCAGCTCACATTCCTCTTAATGTTTCTGGATTGAGATTCTGGCAACTCTAGCCAGCAAAGCTCGTGTGTGTGGGTGTTTGCGGTGGCAGTCCAAGACCCACACATTGTTCAGCCCCAGTTTAAAGGGGGGGATGGATTTCTGGAAACCCCAGGCTCGGTTGAAATGGATCTCAGGTGCAGAAGAACGCTGGAAGGTTGCCGGTAGTCAAATTGAACATTCCTGAGCAAAATGGAATATTAATTGACTAGAGCTTAGAAACATTACTCTTCGGACTACAACTCCCAGAATTCTGGCTGGAGAGTTTTGGAAACTGTAGGCCAATAAAGTTATCTTTCCAGGCTCTGAGGCTGACCCAGTATAAGCCAGCATCTCATACCCTTGTGAGTTTGCACAGAAGCAGGCTTCGAACAGGGACATCAACAACAAAAAGCTGTTATAGCCCATATTATGGAAGACCTAGCAACAGTTACTTATTTGAGCTGGCTGGAAAATTTAAGGAGTTGTAGTCCAAATGAGAAACTTGTGCAAACACTGGATTGGGCCCATTATTGTTGGGCCCACTTCAACATTCCTCTTGCGCGTGTGACTGCGCCCCCGCATGTGGGGTTCCATGCAGCCTAAAATAGCATGTGCTGTTTTTTGCAACAGCATCATACTGTTGGCTGATGTTCAGTTTATGATCTATTCTACAGCAATTCCAAGATCTTTCTTGGTCGTAGTAGTACTATCCCCCATCATTTAACCCTATGTTTGTTTTTCACCCCCTAAGTGTAGGCAACATCACACTGTTGGCTGATATTCAGTTTATGATCTACAGCAATTCCAAGATCTTTCTTGCTTGTAGTAGTACTATCCCCCATCATTTAACTCTATGTTTGTTTTTCACCCCCTAAGTGTAGAACTTTGCACTTATCCCTCTTAAATTTCATTCTGTTGTTTTCAACCCAGTGCTCAAGCCTACCAAGATCTTTTGAATGTTGTTCCTATCTTTCACGTTATTAGCTATTCCACCCAATTTCGTGTCATCTGCAAATTCGATAAGCTTTTCCTGCTCCCTCTCAGTCAAGTCATTAATAAAAATGTGGGAGAGCACCGGGTCCAGGGCTGAGCCTTGTGATACCCCTCTTGTTACCTCCTCCCAGTTTAAGAAGGAACCATTGATAAGCCTTCTCCGAATATGATTCTGTAATCAACTGTGTATCTATCTGACAGTTGTTCTGTGCAGCCCACACCTAGTTAGTTTGCTAATCACTTTATCTAGAGGAACTTTGTCAAAAACTTTGCTCAAGATATATTATGTCTAAAACATCCCCACCATCTACCATGGAGGCTACCCAATGAAATAATGAAATTAATCTATTATTTGGCAGGATTTGTTCTTGACTACTCGATGTTGGCTTCTACTTCATTGTTTTCAAGGTGTTTGCAGAGTGACTGCTTTATAATTTTCTCCAGAATTTTCTCTGGGATTGTCGTCAGGCTGACTGGTTTATTGTTCCCAGTTTCCTCCTTTTTGCTCTTTTTAAAGAGGGGGACAACATTAGCCCACTTCCAGCTAAATAGGGCCATTTGGAGGCCTGTTATTCTATTCGGTGCATGTGCGCTCCATTACTTAAAAAAAAAAAAGCCAGATGAAAAAGTTCCCTGCAAGAATGGTGGTGGAGAGATCATCAACTTAGGGGGTGGGTAATATCACTACTAACAAGGATGTAGCCATTTTCTTCTCCAGAAGGACAGCAACAGCAACTGAAAGCAGTAAAATAAATTAGAACTGCTGCTTCAGCAGGTTGGAAATACACTTTTCTCATTTGGAGGAGAATGCCTCAGGGGAACATTGCAGCAGGAAAGATGCCTGCTGGAACAATATTTTACTCTCAGTCTCTGTAATTGTCTCCTTTTTTATGGAAGGAGAATTAATTGGTGATAAAGATCGTTGCCCTCCTGACACCTTCTACAGTGGAAGGCTTACCGTAAGCTTTCTCACAAATGCTGGGGATTAGCATGGGCTGATTTGTACAGCTGCCTGAGTTTTCTAGGATCAGATGTCCACCCAGTAGCAAATACTTAAGTTCTTAGCAAATCCTTGGTAGTCAGAATGTACAAAAAGGGTGGCAAGAAGTCATTGCCTGCTCGAAACACTTACCCTTGCAAAGAATTGCTACAGATGTTCAAGACCGGGTAGCGCAGCACCAGATGCTTGTTTTCGTAATATCAAGAAGAATATTTTGCTTGGAGTGCCTCAAAATATAACTTCTGTGTACATTTTTAGCCCCGCGCCAGGACATTTGATGTTTGCATCCCAAGGATACTGACTACATGAAGACCTTAAGGTTTAAGGCACCTTTGTCGACAAGGTGATGTCTCTGCTTTTTAAGATGCTGCCGAGGGTTGTCATCGCTTTCTTCCCAAGGAGCAGGCGCCTTTTAATTTTGTGGGTGCTGTCACCATCTGCAGTGATCATGGAGCCCAAGAAAGTAAAATCTGTCACTGCCTCCATATCTTCCCCTTCTGTTTGCCAGGAGGTGATGGGACCAGTGGCCATGATCTTAGTTTTAGGTGATGGGGCCAGTGGCCCATCTCTACTTAGGTTAGTCTCTCAGCCTTCAGTTTTCATTAAAAAAGATAAGTGAGTCTGTAAACTTTTTACTCATGTAGAAGGAGAAATGGAAATATAAGAGTAGTGCTCTGCCTAAATATTCATTAGGGGGCTGTTTCAGATGGATCATTTGCCCTCCTTTAAAATACCTTGTTCATCACTGATTTTACAGCTATAATTCCCACCATCCTTATGACGTTTCTCTTGTTCCACTTAGTGCAGTGACATTTCCCATGACTTTCCATACTTTTTCAGCTCTCCTGAAGGAAAGTTTGCTGTGTCTGAAAGAGTCCTAATCAAAC